TGGGTGATGGCAATGGAGGTATACGACAGAGTAGCGAAGGTTGTAGCACCAAAGAAAGAGAAGCTCAAGGGAGCTGAGGAAGAACTCACACAGACAATGGCTATCTTGAATGGTAACAAATGCTATTTTTAATTGCACTGAAATTAACCTACCTCATGTTGTAAATTATATATTACCAAAAATATACTTATTATTGTCCCATGACATCACTAGCGGTTTACAGAACTGTATATTGTTAAGTGAGGTGTCATGATCCTTGTTAAATATTTCAAGTCTATGTTTTGAATACTTACCTGGGTAAACTGATAATTGCCCTTTACCATTGCCCTTTATCATTGTGAAATCTGAACTGATAATTGCCTTTTACCATTGTGAAATCCCCTTATTTTGGCTGGACACTGCTTATTTGTGGAAATAAAAAATTTATCTGAGCATAAATTGGTATAATAGCAGTGTTTGAAGGTTTTCTGGAAGTGTCAAAGTTCTTAAATGAAAATTTACTATGGTCCTCCGACCCATTTTTATGCCCACCCCTGATATTGCAATTGCCTATCCATTCACCATGCTCATTTTTTACTGTCCAAAATTTGCTTTTGTTGATTTATCTTACTGATTTATAAGAGAATTAAGATGTATTGCCTTATCTTGTTCTCAGGTATAACCATGCCTGCAATATATGCTGTTCTATTTCTTTTAAAAAAAGAAAAAAATATAACTACCAATATTGAATATAAACATTCATCATTATTTGTTGTTTTAACCCAGGAAATGAAGTATTGTTTGCTTTTGTCAATAAGCATTCTTGTTTGTAACAATGTATGACCATCTCTTTCATAGGAAAAAGAGCTGAGTTGAAAGATGTTGTGGATCGATTAGAAACACTCAAGAGTAATTTCAAAGAGATGACCGAGAAGAAAGAAAAGCTGGAACAACAGGTTGATCTTTGCGCAAAGAAACTTGAAAGAGCTGAGAAGCTAATTGGTGGACTTGGAGGTGAAAAAGACAGGTATAATATTTTAGAAAGAATTGGGACTAAACTATACAGCATCTATTTTTTTAAATATTAATAATCACAAGGATTATGTTGATGGGGTGACAGATAAACAATTCACTTGTGGCTTAATAATAATGACTTAATTGATCATAAACACAGAGCCCGGGATTTATCAATCTCAGCTTAGCAAATGTCTTAAGTCAAAAAAATTTAAGATGTCCATAATAAATATCTTAAGCTGATTTATTAAACCATCTTAGCAAAATCTTGGCTTAAAATTCGTCTTAGATGGCGCTTCCGTACAATTGACTTCCTAATTTTAAAGCAGTTTTTAAGCAAAGCAATTTTGATAAATTTTACTTAAGCAAAAAAATGGACTTAAGACAAATTTAAGCCGGTTTTTAGTTTGATAAATCTGGCCCCTTATCTTAATCTTATATGATGAAGTCCACTGTGTGGATGAAAGCTAGAAATAAATTCTATATTGTTAGTCTTAAAAGTGCTTCTGTAATTTCTTTTATATTGTTCCATAGCAGACTATAAATGCGGGCTACACTTGTTATTCATCTTAATCTTATAGTGATAAGACAAAGTAGTAAAGTAGATTTTAAT